ACTAGTTTGCTAGGGCTACTGTACCAAAATGGCATAGAGTAGATGACTTAAACAACAGAAATTAATTTTCTTACAGTTCAGGAAACTGGAAGTCCAAGATCAAGGCATCAGCAGGTTTGATTTCTTCTAAGGTCTCTCTTTTTGGCTTTTGGATAACCACCTTCAGGCTGTGTCTTCAGTGGTCTTTCCTCTGGGAAAATATACCTCTGGTATCTCTCTCTCGTTAGAAAGACGCTAGTCATTGTGGGTCAGGTCCACTCCAATGACTTCATTTTCATTTAATCCCCTCTTTACAGACTTTCTGTTCCAACAGGGTTCATACACTGAGGTGCAGGAGGCTGGTGCTTCAACATATGAATTTAGCCTATAATATAACCCCAACAGGTTCTGATTTTAGTACAGTGGTGCCAGTGAACATTTTAAGCTATGTCCCAGGTAATTGCAACTGGTTTAGGTGGTCAGAGTCTACACTTTGAGATGTTTTTGACATTTGCTTTGACTCTGTCTTTACATCATCCTGATTCTTCCACACATTAATAATAATATATACCACACATTAACAATAAATTAATGCATATAGAAGGTTCTCCATGACTCTTTGTCATCACTCCCTAAGACTTCTCGTAAATTCCTGTGTCTTTGTCTCAGATATTTCCTTCATATTTCAATGACTTCAAATTTGAGGTTGTTTCGAATCCTGTCTTCTGGACTTGTTAGGACCATGACTTAGACACACGCTACTTACGGATTTGGCTCACACCCATTCTACTAGTTCCTTCCATCTGGGATAGGATTTGCTGCTCAAGAACTGATTTCCAAAATGCACCGGATCAGCTAACATAACCCAGGTTTCAAGGCCTGAACACATGAAACTCAGTGCTTTAAGGGGTCTCAGGACTGCACCTCAGAACTCAGGTAAAAAGCCAGGCCATGACTTGGGTCTGTCACTCTGGGGAAAGAAAGGAGTCTGTCCGCTGATGTAAAGAGCCCTGTTTTCAGATTTACATAGTTTGTTAATCCCTGCCCCTTCACCCTTAAATTCACCTCTCTCAGTCTGAATGTTGTCCCTTTTACACGGGCCAGGATTTTCATGTGAACCCCACTCCTGCTTTCTCAAGATGTGTTGGCTGTAGGGGAGGACACGTCAGAGTGTATTTTTCCTGTGGATTCTGCGTTCTCCTATGGGGTGGCCAGAGTGGGAAGCAACAGAAGCCCATCGTGGGCTGGGTACCGCGCCCGGGTCCATGGTCTCTCGTTTAATCCTTACAACACGAGAGAAACGAGAGATCCCTTCCATCTGTAGCGCTGCAGCCCCTGGGACTCAAACCCCAGCGTGTAGATGGTCCTCTTCCAAATCTGCTGCGTCATTTTTTACGGTAGCCAAACCTCCAAGGTGCTTCAGGTTAGTCCCTATGGTTCAAACATAGGGAACATGGTTATTTTATAGTGTGGCAATGCTAACTGAAATCTTCGTGGGTTTGTTCCTGTTGTCTGTTCATTCTGGGGATTTTTTTTAATGTCATCATTTTCCATGTCTGTCTGGTTATATTTCTCTATATGCTGACAGTTGCACTCAAAATATTTGTAATGACAGTTGGAAGTTTAGAATATAAGTATATTTCTTCATAAATAACTTAAACATACATCTTTTGGGCACTTGGGGTACTATCAGTCTGGGACCACCTCCACCTAAACTCTAGATTTATTGGCTTCTGTATCACCAAGGTGACCTGCGACTTTCCAATGACTGGTTTGCTTCTGGCTCGCCCTTCTCCTGGTAGTTTAGTCTTCGGGGATCTTCGTTTTCCGTGTGTGAGGTCTCACACTAGGTTTTTGACATGGTCTGGCTCTGTGCTTTGACACCTATCCTCACTCCAGAAACGAGAAAAAGGTTCTGATTTCCTGAGATTAGAAAATCCCATCAGGCAAAAGTAGCTGCCGGGTCTGCCAATCTCAATGTCACTTTCCTCTTTGGCATGGTAATTCCCTGGGAAATTGTCAGCTTTCCATTGTTGCGAAGATTTGCTTTTAAAGTTTGATACACCACGTATACTTGTTTTCATTAGACGGGTTGTCTCGGATAATGCAGCCTGACATGACCTGAACCCCCAAATATGGAGGCTGTTATTTTCTCCTTCTCATTTATTCCTGGGCCTTTCTCCCTCTCATTTCTCTTCTGCGAGGTCTTCTGCCTTTTCCATGGCCCTGAACCTCCCCGCTGGTTCTTGTCAAGGGCTTGGCCCTGTGGATTAGTGGTTTCTCCGACGGGTTCACAGTTGTGCCTAGGAGGGCAGACAGTGGGCACTGTGTGTGCGGAGCCCCTAGGACCCTGCCCTGGGTGCCTCTTTCCTTGGCGGATGTTCATCTGTATCTTCCCTGTAACAGTCCGTAACTGTGAGAATAACAGTTTCTGTGAGTTCTGGGGGTCCCTCTAGCTCGTTATTGAAACCGAGGGTAGTTTTGGGAACCCTCTGAACTACCATTGGTGTTCAAAATTGGGGCAGTCTTGTGGAGGACTGTGCCCAACACCTTTTCAACTTGGCTAACACTGGGCAGTATCTATACGTGCACATGCGTAAGTATGCATGTGTGAATCTGTGTGTACACTACAACACTGACATAGGGTTCTTATTATTAAAACTGCCTCATCATGGCTATAGCACATGAGCAAGGCTTAGATACCTTTATCTTTGCATCTTTATGTTCAACCCGCTGTGAGACCCTTCCCCTGGCCTTTTGGTCCACACCCACCTCTGGCTGTGGTGAGTGGCATTTTCATCCCTGTGAGCTTTGTATCCACCTACAGTTCCTACAAGTCTGTGTTTCCTTCACCTCCAACTCTGGTTAAAGGAAGAAAGCGAGCCCACAGAAGTGGCTTTTCCCTACTCAAAGTTAGAACCTCATAAATCACAGTGACAAGAAATGTGATGATGGTCTCTTTCTGTTCCTGAGATTGGAAGAGGAGAGGCGTGCCGGTTCCAGCATGGTTTTGTAATTTCTCCCAGTGGGGGCACGGCGCAAAGGCATCCAGCAGGCCAGCTCTGCAGCCCTGACTAAGTAATTCCCCACTTGAATTGTTCCTGCACTGGCAATGCAGAGACATCCACCAGTGTCACTCGGGCAGTTTAGTACCTGCTGCGGAACTCCTGGCAGTTAACAATGAAATTGTCGAGATTTCCTTTTTTGTCCCCTTCCAAGTAGGCAGGGCATCGTTTTTATCCCCTGGTTTAGCACATGAATCAATCCTTTTGTACATGATCAGTGGGACTGCGCATGTTCTCAAAAACTGTCTGGCTGTATACCTGGCAGGCGTGCTTGCTGGGCAGTGGTTCTGCCAACGAGAAAGAAAATACACAGATCCTCCCACGTCCCCAGATTGAAATGCAGGACGGTCAAAGGAGGTAGCTGTTTTCTGGCCTGATATTTGCCTTTGATTGCTTGGAGTCTTAAAGATACACTATCCAGAACTTGTTAGATGTTTAAAAAATATTATTTTTAAAAACTGGTATTTTGCAGATTGTGGTTGACAGAGAGGGGAGGAGACACACATGGCAATGGGGACAGATAGGAGAAGACGGAGTATCTAGTAAACGCTTTAATCCCTGCAAAGCTTGATGTGTTTGCATGTTACATAGTTAATTTTCCAACAACAATGCATTTTAAAAGAGCCAATCCAGCTTGGCTTAATTTCTGCCTGGAGGCCATTCACACAGCCCTTTCTAAGGTCAGCACTTTTCACGCCCCCCTGCACAAAGGTAGAGGGGTTATGCTTCAATTAACCTGTCAGGAACCTTTTGTCTATGAAATTTTGGAGACCAACACATATGTAGTTGTTTATGCATGCAGTGCTTGCAAGAGACCTGAAAACTATAGATTTACAGTAAAGAAAAAATTAGAGGGTGGATCTTCCTTTGCCGAAGCTAGAAGAGTCCCTTTGGTAGAAAAGCAATTCCCGGCACAATTAAAATTTGACTTCTTATATGATTGTGCATTTTCACCCAATTTATTTCAGAATATGTATATATTATAAAGCAAACACTCCTTTTAAATGTAGTTTTTGAAATGAGAAATGGATATGCATGCACTCAATAGATACAGTTTATTATTTTTATTTAAAAAAAGAGAAAATACTCAATGCAAAGATCTACCCAACCTCCGAGTTTTGCCAAACTTAAAATACTAATAAAAATGAGGTCAGTTCTGTAACCAAGGTGATGGACTCACTATAAAACTTAGAGAATTATCTATATTTCCATGTTTTATATGGAATCCATAGATGGGCTATGGGACATTTATGAATGAATTAGAGAATTACATAGAATGTTGTGTTTGTGCATGTGCATATTTGGGGCTAGTCCATTGCTCTGGCTCTTTTCAAGGGACGTAAGCACTACTCTGAGTTTGGATGTGGGGCACAGGAGATGCCGTACCTTTTTCGTGCCCACTCAGTCTGGGCTACAGGCACAGCCAGTGCTGTGTGCTGACTCATTTCATTGCGGAGGTTCTGTTTCCACAATTGTAAGACGTGTCTCCGTATGCTCATGGACACACAAGGTAAGTGCTGAGGCCTCCTCAGTCATGCTATTATCATCTCTTTGAATTGACCAGTGGGCTTTCTCGATGACCTGGAAGTTACACTTAGATGCTGTGCAGCGCCTTTACTGAGTATAATGCTAGGTGCTAGGAGGAATCTCTGTGTGTTTCTATGTATTTGAAAAGTAGTATATTGAAAAGATGTGTAAATGAATGAATGAACCCAATTGTCTTAATGAGTAAATAACCAAATAATTACAATACTATGTCATTTGACTTCTTCAGTGAAGTCCCTGCTTGGTTAAAACAGGAAATTGGAGAAGGGGATTGAGAGGCTTTTCTCTGTTCCCATGGTGACCTCCTGCCCAAGAAAGATTCCCACACTGGTCGTCAGGGATATCATCTGTGTTTCATAAAACCTTCCCAGCCATGGTCACTGTTCCTCTCTTGTTTTTTTTTAATTTCAGCTATCCAGTTTGATAAAGTGGATCTTAAAATGTACTGCGCATGGTCCCTTCTGGATAACTTTGAATGGACCCAGGGGTACAGCATGTGGTTTGGTCTCTTCCACGTTGATTTTGAAGATCTGGCGAGACACAGAGTCCCTTACACATCAGCCAAGGAGTATGCCAAGGTCATTTGAAACAATGGCTTAGAGTGACATCCATGGACACAACTGCTGGGCACGTCAGCTGGAGAAGAGGCCTCTGTGTTTGGAAAGGAAGTCCACTTTGGTGATCCCGCCACCCACCTCGAGCTGCCTTTGTGATCAACAGGTCCTCCCAGCCTGTCCGCAATTGTGAAGTCTGAATACGCAGTGCCTGGGGAGGTGTTTAATGATGGCCTCTCCTCCACGTGCACTGAGATCAATGAGGCTTTTAAAAAAACAGAATGGAAAACCAGTGAAATTGATTTTTATATTAAGAAATCAAATAGACTTAGAAACTTCTATTTAAATTCTTTAAATCGCTCCCGAAAAAGTAATGCAAAATTTATTATGATTTGCAACTCTGACAACAGACCACTTATTATAAGAATTCTTGTTTTTACAAGCCTATTTTTTTTTCTGGTTACACAAGCTATGATTTTTTATTAGATTCATAACTTTTCTAATAGTTAATCTAATGTACAAAATCAAAATTGAAAGTTAGTCACATTATATAGTTACGAATTCTGTTCACCAAAGGGATTAATTGATAACATACTTAATAAAATGGACGTGTTGATGAATTTGGCATATATTTCATTTATGCATAATGAAGTACATCTTTCTGTTGCCTGATGGACTTTGGCAAATAATATATTAATAAAACAAATTAGACTATGAATGCCAGAAATAATATTTGAATGTTGATGCTTAGCAGAAACTGGATTCTGACTCTATAGTGACACCAAAAGAAAAGCAACATAAACAGCAGGGTGTGGTCTTGACTTTTGAGTATTTAAAAAGAATTTAAGATCCAGACGGGCATTGGTGACACCCATGGACACGTGCACGGATGGCTTGAGCAGGAGCATCCGCAGAGGGCAGGGCCACTCATTACAGTGGCGGTGGAAACATCTGGGATGACTGTGGAGTTGAGTGCAGCACGGGTTTTTCCGAGCTCCTGCAGCAATAGGTTCAGGGCCCCCTCTGGACTCCATGTCTCCCCTGCAGCTAGTTCACATCTGTGGAATTTGGACGCTCCCATCCTTATTTAAGTAGTATTCACTAAAAACGTTCATTTGGATGTCAGGTTTAAAAGTAAGAGGTAATTATTATCACTCCATTTTTCAGACTGAGAAACTGAGGACTGATGTGCATCTTCCTGAAGTCACATTAGGGCATATTTACTGGACCTACTTCTTTGCAGCAGCTCCGCACTCTGTCCCATACACTGTGGGTTGGGTGTCTTGGAAGTCTGCTTTGCATCTTTGGAATAGAGGCAGGGAAAGGAGCAAAGGTGTGGCGTTGTCTTATGCAGGGGGAGGTGGGTGGGTTAGGTGGTTTTCTGTGTTCTCAGTCTGCTTACTTGAAGAAACTGCTCACGAGACTTTTGGCCCTGAGCAGACACTATGTCATTTTTTTAAAAAAACTGTGGTCAATTTCTGGATCGTTTTCATTTTTATAATAGAGAGATTATTTACAGCAAGGAACACTGTCTCAGTAACTTTGGACAGAGTGAGAAAGAAATGTCATTGTAGTTCAATAAACGTGGATGCACTGGGGAAAATTATATGAAGATTAAAATGGTCTACATAGGAAATTCTATTACATCTTTTATGCTGGTTTGTTATTTTTATTGTTCAATGAGACATTATCTCACAATTTGTGTTCATTTAAAAAGCACATTTCCAAATCTTATTTCATTCCTCTCCTATCCAGCCTGTCTTTTTCATTTTTACCATGTATCTTATTTACAATTTATGTGCCCTCTTATATTATCTTGCAAGACAACTGAGTTTTCCTTTTAATTAGGATGTTGCTTTGAATATTACTTATCCTACAGGGCATATTTACAAGTTTTACAACAATACCAATGATCACTGTATTCTGGATACCAAAACCAGAAAATGAATATCCGCACTATAAATCAAAGGACCTGCCACGGAGCGTCCGTCAGGTGAAATAAACATTACGGCTGCAGCTCCCAAGCTCCCCTCCCGGTGTGGTGGCCTTCTGCAGCTCGGGGCCGGCTTCTCGAGGCCAGCTTTTCCTCCCAGAGGTGGATCAAACCAACAGCGCTTCCCTAATTAGTCCTGTAAATTAGGATTGCCATGAGGTTAAGCTGAAGGGAGACAACAAAATCCACCCGGCCCCAAACCTAACAGCCCCCGTAGAGTTTTAATTAATGTTATTTTTAATTGCTTATATTAGCATTTGAAAACGAGATTGATTGGCTTTTGCCTGTCAGGGAAACAGAACTTGGATTCTTTCAGTGGAAAAACAGGAGTTGTTAATTATACTTAAAAATCCATAGATAGTGTACTTAGATGTCTCGAAGGTCATCAGAGGCTTGTAAAACACATGTTTTATGTCTGTTTTATCTAAGGAGAAACCTGGGTATCACAGTGATGGATGGAATCTCCTTGTATTTCTTCCTCTCTCCCTTCCTTCCTTGCTTTTTTTTTCCCCCTTTAAGGGAACCTGAACACATGTTATTAATATCTGTGGATCACTTTCAAACAACTTTTAAATAATTGTTTTTGTTTTAGGGCCAGTCATTTCTGAATTGCTAAACACTTGCAGAGGATAACCATAGCCCATTTTCATTTTGATATGTAGGGCTTTCCTTTTATGATTCCTGCAAACGCCCCCAGAAAATGTCCACCTAAGTCCTTTAGTGAACGAGAAGGCATGAGTTCTCATTAAGAAACCCATAAACTAAGAAGCTGGCAACCTTGGTATTTGGCAGTGGAGCTCCAGTCAGGCTTTTGTGCTCAGGGAGTTAGTGTTTGGCCCATAGCTTTTAATTATTTTTATGAACGAGGGAATAATGAATACATTTGTAATATATTGAAAAAATTCCTCAACACTGACTGACCAAAAAGCAGATTTATATGATAATCCTTAAACACCATTTCTATGGCTCAGTGCTGAGCAGAAAGAAAATAAAATACTGAGCTTCATTACTGAAAGAGCAGAATAAATCAAAACTGATGGAATTAATACTGTTTAATTACTAGCAATACACCTTACCCGGAGAACGCATATTCATCACTGATCACAGTATTTTAGGCTACAGTTGTCCTGGGAGGGAGATAGCACTGAGCACAAAGCATGATGAGCCTGAAAGAATGAAATTAGAAGACATTTTGACGTCGAGACACTTTATGATGGCCTTTAGAATTATGGCAGCATGAAGGAGAATCAACCTTCTTAATTATGACCGTGGGGAAGCCAGGACGATGTGGAAAAGCTCTGGGTTAGGGTCACGGGGAAGAGCAATCCCCAAAGGCCAGGAGAGTTCATGAGCGCTGCTTGTAGGAGCAGCCAGAGCCTGTTGTCTCAGGTGTTCTTGGTGTCCACAAGTGTCACCTGACCCATGACTGGCTAAATATGGCCTTGCCTGAGTGGCTATTGGTATCTGGTCTAAGGCAAATGTAATGTAATCATGATGAATACAGGCTCTGGAGCCAGTTCACCTGGATTTAAATCTTGGCTCTCACACTTAAGCGATTTACTGAATTTCCCTGTGCCTCAGTTTTCCTCTCTGTAAAATGGGCTCCTCATAAGGCTGTTGTGAGAGTTGAATAAGCTGATGGTTACATGCTTAGAATAGTTTCTGGAACATGGCAAGGGCTCAACTAGCATGAGCCATTATTTTTAACTCTCAGACTTGTCCGCGGTGATCCGAGAGCAATTCATCAGTTATAGTCCCGATGGTCCCTACCTCCATCCCTGCAGAAGTGTCTACTCCGGGGAGTCATAATTCGCTGTCTCTCTAATTTTTGTGGCAGCCATTTTCCCCATGATGTCAAATCTCCGATCTGAGAAGAGCTGTTAATTTTCAGTTTGTTCAGCTTTTTCTCATTAGGGAGCAATGTCTTCCAAGCTCCTTTATACGAGTGTATTGGACCAGAAACTGGAAGTCACTGTTGTTGTTATAACCATTGGGATGGAAGTTTCCCAGCAGCCTCATCAGGACATATTTATTAAACTAAACTGTGCAGTGCCTTGTACAGGTGCCATCCTGCAGACAAGATAGTGCTTGTCCAGAGAGGGTCAGGTCTCACTGGGGAGCTAAGATAGAGACACCACGCGGTAGACAATGAATGGTGGGTGAATTTTCCATGCAGTGACAGGAGGAAGAGCTCTCGGCTTGCTGGGGTGGGCAGTAAGCCTTCATGGGCAAGGAAAAACCATGTAATATGAAAATAATGTAGAGAATATGATGATGACATAAGCAATATAAGTAAGACTATGGAAGTGGAAAGCATAAGGCCTGCTGGAGGGGAAGAGCAGCACCCAGGCCACTTCCCCATAGCGAAGAGAGTGAGCAGGTTTGGACTAGACTACTGAGATCCTCTGATGTTCTTCAGAGATGCTTGGTTTTGTCTTAGAGCAAAGTGGAAGATTTCCGAGCAGCATGTCAAGGTCCGAAAGTAACCTGTTGAAAGATGGGAAAGAAAGCAGTCTGCAGGAACCAGATGGAGAATTTCTTGTAGCCGAATACCTATAGTGGATGTGGTAAGGGCCCCATTTAAGGTGAGAAGTGCATGCATGAAGACTTACTGTGTAATTTATGCATGGAAAGTACCTAGGAACCTAAATGCAACACTGTCTACTGGGTTGGGTCCTAGAACAACAAGAACAAAAAGGACGTTAGGAGAGAACTGGGAGCTGCAAGTGGTCTTTAGTTTAATTGATAGCGCTTACCTATGTTAATTTCTTAGCTTTGATAAATACATATACAATGGTTATGTAAGATGTTTTAGGGGAAGCTGGGTAGAGAATATATGAATGCTTCATTTTTTTCTTCGCAACTCATTTGTAAATCTAAAATTATCCACTACCCAAAGTTTTTAATATGTACTTGGTAAGACTTAATACTCTATTCAAAGAATGTATTAGAGACATATGTTATATTATATACATACAGAGATAAAAAATAGGAAAAAATAATCACTGTTAATGTCCTGATATTTCCTTTTTCTTTCTCTCTGGGTTGTGATATGATAGCTTTTTGTTAACTTTGTAATTTGCTCCCAAATTTTCCTTACGTAGCTTCTGGTTTTATTTTAATTATTAGAACATATTTTTAAAATCCAACTTGAGCAGTCCAGGTGATTCCTGGGCTGTTGGCACAGCGGAGAGAGCTAAGTCAGCAATGGCTTTGTGTGGGAACAACGGTGCCATTGACAGAAATTGGCACGTACACACATGACTTCATCTAGGTGATACTTTAAACACGTCATGGCAACAAATATTTCTGAAGTTCGTGTTACTGTTTTGAGATATTCAAAAATTAATTGCTACCTCTAGTCTGCAGTCACTAATGTAGTACACCTCTGTCACACCTGGTGCTCATCTAGATGGTGAGCAATTGGAGGTCTTATTCATTGTCATAGTTCCAGTACCTAGCACGGTATCTGGCAGATCTAAGCAATTTGTAAATGTGTATTCAAATATTGATGCAGTGGACGTTAGGTAGTCAAATTCTTA